TCTTGAATTTATATTCATCATGATGGCCCCTTTTTTCGGCTTAAAGGGGAAAAAATACATGTAGCAACTAAATGATTGCTATAATTGAAGTTGAACATTTCCCAGTGACAAGTCAGTCTTTCATATAGATTGTACATGTACTCACGCTGCAATCTGTGATATTTCGACCCATACATAGTGTGGATAGGTTGAATATGAAAGAAATGCATATTTCCTGTGTCCATTAGTCATTTTCACAATATATTTTGTTGAAGAATTTAGACATGGCGTATATTGGTGTCACCATTTGCACTCATACATTGGTTGGCATTTGGCATTAAAACTTTTGATCCTGCAGTTTGCACTCCTTATATCCCATCTGATTTTTGTATAATTATTTTTTTTTTCTTTGCTGTTCTAGGTGCTCATAAGTGTTTACTTTGTGTGCACTTAATGTCGTTCTCATTATAGCATCATGGTTCTGTGATACTGTTGGGTCTAAAATGAACATAAGTCACAACATGGACATATAAAATGCAGACCGCAAGAACTTCCTTGGTGTAAATGACTAAACTGTTCACATTTACAATTAGTAACTAACAGCCGACTATTGGTATATGCATGTCACAAGGCTATGCAAAACTTCTAAGAGAAAATACAATTTGAGTACGGTAGGCTTAAAATGATTATTCTCTTCTTCTATCAACTTAGATTATACTGTCAAACAGATTTAGATGAACAATGAAACAAGGTTACATTTATTTAATTTTTTTCAGGTAAGGAGTCCATGTGCAGTCTGCAAAAACTTGTCTTTGCTCAGTTAACTTCTTTTCCTTTTTCTTTTTTTTGTCAGAATAATTTAGGTTTTTTAGTTATTATTACGAGATTGTATTTATTTACTTATTATGACACACATACGAATGCCACTTAAATGAGGATAGATAAAGGAAACACAACGCTATTCGCGCACTTTATGAACTTGCATCACAATGTCAATGCGATTTGGCAATAAGTTAACATCCTCTGTCAGACCATTGACATATTTATTTTCCTTTTAAAAAATTTCAGTTTACATTCACATCATACGGTGACACTTTACCACAACAGAATTTTTATTTTTATTTATTTGTTATTATTATTTTGTCTTCTTTTTTTTTATAGCATTGATAATACTTTTTATATGTGAATAAGTTGAATATGCAAGAGTAGGCCTATCTACTCTCTTGGTGTAGTTTATATAAAGGCAAAATATACCATGTTGAACTTTTAATATGGTACACTGAAAGTGACATATAACAATGCAGTGAATAGTGAAAAGTAGAGGGAAACATTCCTCTGTTGCTGCAAAATTTATTTGTACAGTCTCAGCATCATAAGGACTAAATTGAGACCTTTTATAAGACCAGGTTAGGAAAACAAAGGAGAAAAAAAATATCCTGGCGATAAACAGCTTTAACACTAGAAATCTCAAACACTAAACGTCAAGTTTTGAACAAATTGTTTGCATTAACAGCATTTATCATGCCTGCACAGAAGAAAAAAAATGGATCCCGTAATTTGCGTGACCGAGGATCATAAACAATTTAAAAAGAGAGAGTAGCCTTTACTTTCAAGTTAATGATACTGAACATTTTACCTTTATGATTTGATGCTATGTCATTCCGACCAGGTGGTCCATGTCTGGTCCTTATTTTCCCTTGTAAGGAGGATGACTGACGTGCCCTGTACTTTAATCTTGGTTTTTAGCGACTGTGATTTCCGAAGGTTGTATGCTATTGCTGATAGGCGACCCCGTTCTCTCTTCATTACCGGCGGCAGGTCAGATCGTACAGAAATACGATGGGTCGGGGAGGGCTCAACCTGGGTTGATTTAGATCTCGCTCGCTCGATTTCCTCGCGCTCGTAGGCACGTATGATCCTATCCCGATCCAACATTCTGCCAAACCTAATGATGATTGGATCGGGGCCGGCCGGGGGCGCCGCAGCTCCGGTTGCATTGCCCCTTCTTGGTAGGCGGTGAGCGTTGATGATGTGTATTTGTTGAGATTCCACAGCAGGTATATGCAAAATACCCGAAATAACTTTAGTGGCGGTGGCGTAGACATCCTCATCAGGTGCAGGGGCGATACCGTAGAAAAGGATGTTTTGCTTCATATGGTGTAGTTCCTGGCGCACAAGCTGGTCTTCAAGATCTTTACGGAGCTGCGTAATGGATGATTCGATGGTTGGGATTTTGTCAGTTTCAACTGACTCAATCCTGCCCGAAGTATCCTCAACTGCCTTCTCAAGATCCCTGACTTCTCTCTTTATCACTGACAAATCCCTTTTAACCGATGCTAAATCATTAATCATGATGTTAAGTTTCCCGTCGATATTAGCAGAAAATTCACTGAAGAGCTTTCGCATCTCAGGCATTACTGACCGCGGATCGTCGGGGGTGTCGATCATCTCGACCGGCGGCGCCGGCTGCACCGGGGCCGAAGCACACGCCACGCCTTCTTTTTCGCTGACTGTTTTCGATAGCGTGCTGTCGGCTTTTGCTTTTGACTTTTGGCCTGCCTTTTTGGAGTTGTTACTCACTTTCTGTGTTCTCAAGTCATATTCTTTATCATTCATGGTGATGGAGTAATATTTTGTGTCAGGATGTTGTTGAAATCTGTAGAAAATCTGTAGAATTTGTAGAATTATAGCCCGAAACTCATTATTTCTTATAGAGCCAGCTCACCCCGTGTGCACACTACTCGGCGGCCATAGTCATGATTGACCCCAATCCCTGATGAATTTGTTTTTCATCCCTATTACACATAGACGTACGGGTAGGCCTACATTGTCGCGCGAGGGCCGTGAGGATCGTGAGGGCCTCTTGCCCAAAGATATACCATCCAAATAAATATATAATGACACTTTTAGTATGGCAATTATTTCATTAAGCCATCAATATACTCTAGATAAAATGTAAAATTATTCATTCGGTCATCTCGTTGTCAGGACCCACCCTGATTTAAAAGTTTTGCCTGAAGTGAAGCAAACAAGTGGGGAGGGGAGGGGGTATAAATTTCATTTCGATAAAATAAAATAAAATAGAATAAATAAGGGTATATTCGGGCGCCATGCTGCCTAGAAAAGTAGAATTATGATGATATTCGGGCAGTGAGGTTCACAAATATCGTCAGATATTATATTGGGGTATTCATGATCCTCACTTCCTGGAAAATGATCCCGTTTCTAAATTGTGCGAGCGAGAAAAGCGAGCAAAGAAAAGGACACTTTGCTATCTCTGATATCTTGTTTTCCCATCAAAATAGCAAAAATTATATATTTGGGCATCTTGCGGTTTCGGATATGATAATTGTTTTGATGAAGTTAACGTCATTACAAAATATATAGTTAACATAACTGAAATTCTCTTGCGGCCCCCATCAGTTAAAAATCGCGGTACTAGATGGTCAAAATTTGAGGAGCCAAACCAAATTATCTTACCGAGCACATACTGCACCCCTATTTAAACGGATGAATAGTTTAAATGATAAATCTATGTATATTATGCAGCTTGGTCAATTCATTTTCCAGTACAAACATAACAACTTCCCACCTGTCTTTGATGACCTTTTTATACTGAAATCTTCTATTCATTCATATGCTACAAGAAATGCAAGTAGTTTCCATTTACCCATAGATAAGACTTCTTTCTTACAAAAACGGATGCCCTTCGATGTGCCTTTGTTGTGGAGTCATCTTCCACCTGATATAAACTGTTCTTCATTGTATTCTTTTAAGGCTAAGATAAGATTATTCCTGATAAGTAATCCATCATTTACATCATTCACATATAGGTAGATGCCCTTTTCCCCCCTTTCTTTGATATTTTCTCCCACATCTATCTTGTTATTGGTACCACCTCATCATTTTGAATTGTATAACTCTTTTATTTATTGGAGGTAGTCCTCGACAAATCATTTTAGATTTTTGACTACCCCTTCTACATTTGCTGATTTTGTTTCTTTTAAAAACATACAGTGCTCCATATGGAGTCGTTTTATATATGCTGCACATGTTCTATTATTGTATTGTATGTATGTATTTTATTTCATGTATTTTTCTATGTTTGGCATTTGTGGAGAAATAAATTGAATTCAATTGAAATTGAATTGAATTGACAGGGCCGAATGTTGATATATATATACCTCTTGCCCCTTTAAAGTGGAAGGCTGATTTCGCATTTTAAAGTTGAACGGACAAACATACCATACTATACTTTCTCTGTCTCTTTTCCCTTATGTCTCATATCTTTCATTACTATCTACATTTCTTTTTCTTCTGTGCTCATCAAGGACGCAGATCGGATCACCCCAAAGCAATTTTCAGTTATCGTGTAATGTATCTTTTACAACACATTTCAATTTAGACTTATCATGCTATCCCCACGTTACTGATTCCCATAATATTATAATTTTGCTTATTATTCCGCTTATTCGCCGGCTGGCTGACTCGCCGCCGGTTTTTTCTCACGAATTGGGCCCCCTATATATTTGGCCCCAATGATCCACCTTGCCGCCCCTGTCTTCTACCGTAACACTGCTGCTGCACCCAATGCTATACTAATACTACTACTACTACTACTACTAATAATGATAATGATATTAATAAAAACACAACAATATATCGTCTTTTTTGTTTTAATTACTACTTTTTTTGTTTCAAATAAGTTCTGCTAAGTCCTCCAGATAATGATTATATTGGCTCGTAAATGAATGGCTCGAAGAAAAGAATCAGACCACTGGATTGCAATTAATTCTAATTTCCATTTCGTAAGTTAAACTTTCCAGTATCTAACGAATAGAAGGGGAAAATACTTTTCAAGTTACTTAGAGTTTGTCATTTGAGTTATTTATTTAAAAAAAAGCATCATCATAAGAAGAAAAAAAAATGATGATGTAGTACGTTGCCTCGCATATCATGAGCCCTCATGAGGTATGTCTTTGCTCAGATGACGTCACCGACTCCACTGGTCGTGTGCCATCGCGTCACACTGCACTGCACCTGCAAGAAACTTTCACGGAGCTGGAGTCGATGTACAGGAAATGGTAGAGTGTGTGTGAGATACTACCAAACAATGTTCATAACGTTGTGTATTGCAGATCGGCTGTGTATATATGCGGTCTGTTTACGGACTATACTCTCTAAAAAATTGAGAATTCCAGCTAGCGTTCAAGATGGAGAAATACATACTTTGATTTTTAGTGAGATCATGACACGAGAGGTTGATGTCGATATAGGTAAGTGGAAAAATTTCTTTAGATTTGTTTTACATCGACGAATGTTTAGACTTTGCAGTATTTGTCGAGATGCGATCCGACTCAAGTCTCAAATCAAAGTTTTGGTATTGGTAGGCAAACTTTGGCCAGAGACACATCTCCGTGGTATGGCAGTGCGTGTACGCGATGTGCATGTAGTGTGCGTGTGAAACCGAATGCATTGAAAAGAATACGAAGAACTATGATTACACGGGGGAAAAATCGGATGTAATTGTAGCCTGCTTTTACATGGAATTTATCTACTCCACATATTTATAAAGGACCAGCTATATCATGACTGCTGCAGTGCAGTGCTCGATCTTTATTAGACCGAAAATTTCTTTCTGTCTCTTGTGTTCGTTAATTAGCCTCTGATTCTAAAGAGAGGAGACGACCGTTTCCAAATCAGAAGCTAACAGGGACTGACATTTGTGGTCTAGATCTGATCAGAAAATATAGAAGTATATTGGCGTTCTGCTGTGTATTTGATTCATTACACTTGTACCTTTGTTCAGTTGTTGTGGTTTACCACAACAACTTCTTGATTAGGTAATTTTTATTCAGGTTTATCCAGGAAAGTGAAGCAAAATATATAACTATCTATAACAGTAAAATAACTTAGTAAAACTTGAGGATGTATGCATTTTTTTTTATGACACTTCATTAGAGGGGAATCTAATCGGTTTTAATAGAACCAGATATATGAGGAAAAACAGGTCAGTGAAGGTTTGAGCAAAAAGTCAAAAACCAATTAAAAATATGAAAGTAAACTTAGAACTTTTGAAGGTCTGATCAATAAAAACACTGATTGGCAATTCTGTGACGTATCTTGTGTGGTCCACCCCTACGTTATGTGTTCTGACTAAAAGAACATTTTCAATCGTACATTCGCCCTAAATATAATTATTACAAATATATGTTTTAAACTTGTATACAACTCCTGTATTAAATTAATTTATTTCATCCTCAATATTAAACTGAGACAATTAAAGTTAATGAGGTTTTCTGTACAGAGCAAATTAGAGAGGAGCTCGCAAGATAAGTCACAGTGTTGCCAATTTGTGTTTTGTTGATGACGACTGCAAATATTCATAACTGTCCTATTTATAATTGGATATTGCTCAAACTAATTTGTTTCTCTCATTTTCTGTTTTTATTAGAACCAAATTAATATCAGGATGAACTTCCCCTTAGTTTAGATAGATCTATCTTCAAAAAAAATTCAGGCTTTACTTTAGAATACCCCCCCCCCCCCTCCTCCCCCTTCCGGCCCCACCAATAGGTTTTTCAAAGCATAGGGTGAGGGTTAGCATAAAGTTTAGGGTTAGTGTTATGTAGAGGGTGAGGATTAAGTTTAAAATTAGCCAAACAAATTATGGGGGGCATTCTAAAGTTGTTCAAATTTTATGAACTCATGATCCACTACAGCATGCAGCAAGGGTGTTAAGTGTTAAGTAAAGGTAGCCTACTACATGTATTTAACTCCTTTTTTTTTTGGGGGGGGGGGGGAGGTTGATAAAAAGTACATTCACAATCTTTAAAGCATCAATACAACCAATTATAATAGAACTTATGAAGTAGCTGAGTTTTATGTTTCTGTAAAAACTGGTATTAGTATCGTACATATATTTTCCAGTACTTGATAAAATAGCAACAAAAAAAGACGTACTCAAGCTTTTCGTCTTGCCTTCATCGGAGTAAATCGCAAGAATGAATAGAGAGCCCAAATCAGACAATATAAACAAAGGCTAAAGGAACAAAAAGCCCTGAAATTAACAGGCTGTTATTGGCTGCCAGAAAGTAGATGTAAGTGTATTTACAAAATACCCTTACCACCAGCCTGCTTACCACAATATAAAAGCCATTATTTATTCCAGAAACTTCATTCATGTTTTATTAAGTGATTACAAAAAAGTACACAAATTAAACTACTTTCATTTGTACTATCACCTTTAAAATAGAAATGCTGTGTTGTGCAAGTTTCCCCGATTGAAAACTTGAATTTCTCAATTTTGCAGAGCCTTTTAATTAGTAAGTTAGTCATTCATCATTTAATTTTCCCCCAGATATAAAGAAAGCTGGAAGGCATTAAGGCAGTCTTCACCGGTGCAATGGGTGGATCACTGGGTCTAAAAATGACATCTTGTTCAGGTTTCCTCCTGCTCCTCCTCCTCCTAAGCCCTGCCCTCCATGCCCAGCTGTCCGTCAACTTCTCCATCACCACAGGCAACGACTGCACCCGCCCTGCTGTCTGCACGCCACTCCCAGCCAACATGACGCGGCAGTGCCTTGGCACAGATTTCTCCCACACCCACATTTCCCTGTCCCTGGCCAACGACTCCGTCACCATCCAGGAGGTGAACGAGAAACTCGTCATGTGGAAGGGGCTCAGGAACGTTCCAAAGTGTTGGGAGGTGGTGCAGCCGCTGCTCTGCGCCGTCTACATGCCAAAGTGCGAGGATGGGCGGGTGGAGTTGCCCAGCTATGATATGTGCAACGTCGTCCAGTCCCCCTGCAGGATCGTGGAACTGGAAAGAGGATGGCCACATTTCTTGCAGTGCAACGAAGAGCACATGCCTAGAGATTGCAGTGAACCAGTGAGTTTACAGTCTTTTTAGGAGATTATGATTCACCAGCACTAACTTCAGCTTTTAAAACAAATTCTGTGTCTTCAACCAAGGTCTTTTTTTTCTTCAATAGAATTAAAGTTGTGATGTATTGTACTTTGGATTGAAGTATTCAGCAATTTCTTGAAATTGATTGGGTCTGAATTACAAATTTGTAAGATTCTTGTATCTGGTCAAAAAGTCTGATAGTTTGGTATCGGCCCTTTTTGCCGTATTTATAATGTGATGTGTTTGCACCGTTCTCGTCCCTTTTTTCTCTCTAAAAGAACACCTACAAGGCAGTGACATTTAACTTAACAGGCGGATGTGAGCCCCCACTGGTGGAGACAGACAATGAGAAGAGTTGGTACGAAAATGTGGAGGGGTGCGGTATCCAATGTAAGAACCCCCTCTACACTGAAGAGGATCACCATAAGGTGCACATCTTCATAGCAGTATTTGCTGGCCTGTGTGTTGTCTGCACGCTCTTCACTTTGGTAAGAAACTTATTTCATAAATAAATGTTGAACCAACTTTTTAAATGTCATTCATGGTGTAGAATAAAAATGTAAGTGATCATTGAGAAGGAAGTAACAGTGATGATAATGGTGGTGGTAATTAGATGGAGATGATGATGACGGTGATGATGATCATGCTGATTATGTTGGTGTTGGTGATGGTTATGATGATGATAAAGATGATGGTGGTTGTTTTGATGATTACAGTGATAATGAGAGTGATGATGATGTTGATGAGGATGATGATTATGGAATTTTTATAAGAATGCAGAAAAAAGTTGGTATGAAAATGTTGATGGGTACATGATCCAGTGCAAAACTTTCCTCATGCGGGTTATGATTACAGGGTTTACCGACAACGAGTTCACCTTGTTATAATTATGGTAATGGTGGTGGTGGTGGTGTTGGTGTACATAGGCCTACCTAATTATGGGGGTAATTGTATTAGTGGTGTTGTATTTGGTGGTGGTGGTGGTGGTGGTGTCATGGTGATGATGTTGCTGTCGAGTGGTAACAAAATTAGAGGAGGTGGTTTAGGAGAATATGGATGGCAGAGGGATCCGGTGGAAGAAGTTAGAACCAAACCATACTTTTACATTTACTTAGCAAACAAAGAATTGTTATAGTAACCTAGTGTCCAGAAAGTTAGGATCATATCTGGGATGAAATAATAACATCTGTCTGGTGCCTGAAGAGCATAAACTCAAATATTAAAGTTAATCCCCTTCTGGCTTTAAACAGATCTCTTATTCTTTTCTTTTTATGAATTATTTAAAATGCTGTCGGGTCATGAATTTGGCATGTGGATTTTAAGTTCCCATATGTATGAACATGAACCATATTTTGCATTAATTATTGCCAAAAATCAACTCAGGAATAGTGGGAGTTTCATCGGATACGTCCAGATACATCCGATGAAAATCAGGCCAGTTTGAAAGGGTATAAGAGGATTGATTTGATAATTTAAATTTGTGTGGTTTATAGACCATAATCAAATTTCTATTTGTAACGACAACAAGTGATAAGACTAGTTGTTTGCCATTGAAGTAGCAAGATTTATTTGTTGTTGAAGTTTACTGACTGCTTGTGCAGTGTAAGTGGTCCTTTTAACCACTGGTATTCATTTGTTTGCTTAGTGTACACTCAATACAAGGGGATGTTTGCTGAATTGAGCTGTATAAGTCTAAGAAGGGGGCCTGTATATGTATCAGACTGGGGAAGGGAAATCTCAACCAGACAAATAGTAATAAAATAGTTGTAGCCTATGACATTATGACATACATCAAAGATTTTCAGTAGGAAGAGCAGGTTTCATTTTTTTAGGGTGCTTTAACTGCTCTTTTATGCTCATGCAGTAAGAAATTATTTTAAAAAAATGTCATTGTCATTTGGGTATTTTATTTTTACACACTCAACTCCGGATGCCTTAGATGCAAAGTAAGGTAACTGAAAATTACTGAATTGAGTAGCTAAACTTTGTTTTTGATGAATATTCTTGTCTTTATGGTTTTTAGATATCTTGTTGTGAATATCTTTGCTTGTTTCAGGGCTTTTTGTCTTGGGATTCTTCATTCTTTGTCCTCTTTAAATGTATTTTTCAAACTTTTCCTCCTGTCATTTCCATTTTCTCTCCTTAACCAATCCAGGTTATAAAATGCAGCTTCTTTCAATTTGTTCCTTCTATTTTATAAAGCCACAGAGTGTTAGTTTAAGTTACACTTCTTGTATGCATTAATTCTATTTCCTTCTTCTTCCCTGCTACTTTCCTCTATTTTTGTCTTCACTGTCATTCTCTTGTCTTCTTTTCTTCTTCTATAATGTAGATTTTATATTTACCTCTATTTGTTTCATTCCTGTAAAAATAATTGTTTGTAGTTATCCCTTTTGAGATATTTATACTTATTCTTTTATTTCTTATCTTCTTCCTTTCGTTTTATGTGGCTTATTAAAATTAAAATGTACCGTCTGTGCAAAACATGAAAACTTTTTGCTCTGCTTAAATGATTACCTTAAATCTCACTTTTAAATGCTTTAGTGTATAAAATCCAACAGAGCTTCCATTAATTAAAATGGAAATTCTTACTCTTTACTCTTTAGTCGAAGTTGCTAACCTTTACAGCTCATTATACTATAGTCTTGTACCAAATAACTAGAAATCAACCATCTAAAACCATATTTTACTCTTCTGTAGTTCTGTACACATTGTCTCAGTATTTAGTCATACCGGTAGATCACTTCAGCTATGTATTTTAGTTTCTTTAAATATAGAATAGATATTAACTTTTAAAGGTCCATACGCAATCTAACAGGTCTTTCATGAATTAGAAATGTAATTTTTACTCTAAATCCTTAGTGCAAGTTGCTAGCCTTTACAGCGCATTATAATTATACCTAACTACCCGAAATCAACAATTAAAGTTCTCTGTTTAGATTGTCTTTTATTAATTCTTGGATCACTGCAACTACAACTGTATTAATCTAATGAGTCAGAGGATGAAACTAACTTTTCCAGGCCCATTAAAAATCTAATGAAGCTTCCATGAATCGGATATGTAATGTTTTGTTGTAAACCGTTGGCCCAAGTTGCTAGCCTTTACAGCTGATTATAATTATACCCAATGACCCAAAATCAACCGTGTTTGCTGTTTGTCATTAGATTGTGTCTCTGTGTATTTATTCCTTGACCACGGTAGCTTCTATGATACCTCAGTTTCCATGAACCATAGAACTGGGAGAGGGGGGGAGAGAAAAAAGGAAAAGTGAAGAATAGAAAACTGTTGCCATCAGGAGCTTAGTATCTGAATGAATAGCCCAGCCCTGAAAAGCATATCCATTCCACTATTCATTTCACAAGCCCCCTCAATGGGGGATTATCCTTGCGGCCTTTCAATCCCCTTAGTCTTCGCTCACAAGCTCTGTTCCTACTTAGAGAGCCTGAAATTGATTTCTTTTTAACTTTTTATATGATATTCTCTTTAACATAGATAATTTTTAAATTGTAATAAAAAGGTTTTCTAGAAAAACCGATTCGTGAATTGTTTACACCATTACCAAAATGTAAACAAAGTTTTAAAAACTTATTTTCAATCACACCTAGGCCTATTGGAAACTATCATCAATGCAAATAAAGGCCTGTGTACATAGCCTTCATGTTTCTTTTAAACTTTTCAATACACTTTCAAGCTGTATGGTCTATATTAAATACACTTTCATTTTAATCAAAAAGTGTTGTATAGTACATACCATAGAAATATTGTATTGTTTCTTTTGTGGATAAGACAAGATAAGTGAAGGCAAGGGCATTTTTATGTTGATTTGGTATGAGAAAAAAAATGAAAAAACAAAACCAAAAATTAAGAACAGAAATTGATATCTGAAGGGGTTCTGTTTGACGAAATATTAAAGTATTTACTGTAATTTCAGAATGATGGGTCTGCTCTTTACCTTCCTTCCACAGTTTTGAACCGGAGTGTTGGCTCAGTCAGTAGAGCGTCCGCCTCACAACCGGGAGGTCGTGGGTTCGAACCCCGGCCGCGTCATACCAAAAGACGTTAAAAGATGGGAGTTGTTGCTACCTTGTTTGGCGTTCAACAATAAGGGATAGAGCAACGTCGATCTGGCGCTGCTCAGTGGCTGCCGGGCTCACGATCAATTGGGCAAAAAGAATTAAAGTTCTCTGTTTAGATTGTCTTTTATTAATTCTTGGATCACTGCAACTACAACTGTATTAATCTAATGAGTCAGAGGATGAAACTAACTTTTCCAGGCCCATTAAAAATCTAATGAAGCTTCCATGAATCGGATATGTAATGTTTTGTTGTAAACCGTTGGCCCAAGTTGCTAGCCTTTACAGCTGATTATAATTATACCCAATGACCCAAAATCAACCGTGTTTGCTGTTTGTCATTAGATTGTGTCTCTGTGTATTTATTCCTTGACCACGGTAGCTTCTATGATACCTCAGTTTCCATGAACCATAGAACTGGGAGAGGGGGGGAGAGAAAAAAAGGAAAAGTGAAGAATAGAAAACTGTTGCCATCAGGAGCTTAGTATCTGAATGAATAGCCCAGCCCTGAAAAGCATATCCATTCCACTATTCATTTCACAAGCCCCCTCAATGGGGGATTATCCTTGCGGCCTTTCAATCCCCTTAGTCTTCGCTCACAAGCTCTGTTCCTACTTAGAGAGCCTGAAATTGATTTCTTTTTAACTTTTTATATGATATTCTCTTTAACATAGATAATTTTTAAATTGTAATAAAAAGGTTTTCTAGAAAAACCGATTCGTGAATTGTTTACACCATTACCAAAATGTAAACAAAGTTTTAAAAACTTATTTTCAATCACACCTAGGCCTATTGGAAACTATCATCAATGCAAATAAAGGCCTGTGTACATAGCCTTCATGTTTCTTTTAAACTTTTCAATACACTTTCAAGCTGTATGGTCTATATTAAATACACTTTCATTTTAATCAAAAAGTGTTGTATAGTACATACCATAGAAATATTGTATTGTTTCTTTTGTGGATAAGACAAGATAAGTGAAGGCAAGGGCATTTTTATGTTGATTTGGTATGAGAAAAAAAATGAAAAAACAAAACCAAAAATTAAGAACAGAAATTGATATCTGAAGGGGTTCTGTTTGACGAAATATTAAAGTATTTACTGTAATTTCAGAATGATGGGTCTGCTCTTTACCTTCCTTCCACAGTTTTGAACCGGAGTGTTGGCTCAGTCAGTAGAGCGTCCGCCTCACAACCGGGAGGTCGTGGGTTCGAACCCCGGCCGCGTCATACCAAAAGACGTTAAAAGATGGGAGTTGTTGCTACCTTGTTTGGCGTTCAACAATAAGGGATAGAGCAACGTCGATCTGGCGCTGCTCAGTGGCTGCCGGGCTCACGATCAATTGGGCAAAAAGAATTTCCGTTTCGGTTTAATAAAATTTGGAGTGGACTATTAGGCTATTATTATTATTATTATTATTATTAGTTTTGGTCTTTCCAACAAACATTTTGGATGACATAATTTCCTCCCGTGGGTCGGGGGAGGGGGGGGGGGGGTACTCACATATTAAGACATATGGGGTGTGCCGCTCTAATAGGTCTCTTTTTCACAAAAATCCCTAAACATGAGTCCCATTCAACAACAAAATATCCCTAAACATTGGTCCAGTTTTTCAAAATTCCAAAATTTTCAAGTGTTTGCATGGCAATCACCCAAAATTGTCTAAAATGGTTTTTACTTTGAGAAAATCCCCCAAATGACCCTTAAAAATGGGAAGGGGTTTCGCAAAGCCGTTTCGCAGAGACAAAGGCCTTTATTTTGAATCATGAAGAGTTGATAAAGGTGCCATCCTGCAAATCATGTTCGTACAGTGGGGTTCGATATGTATGTATAGAAACGCTGTTTCTGAGTGGCAAAAGATGATGCACCCTTAGATAAGGCCATTTTTTGTGTCTGCTGAACTGGAATATTTAAAAATCTGACCAGTAAATCACTTCATGAATGCAGGCAAGTCCATATCCTCTGCTTGTTCTTGTTATTGCTATACTTCTGTTACTTTTTCCCCTTCTTTCATTTTCAGTTTTGACTTCCAGGCATATTTGATGTTTTCAACCCATTGATTACCCAAGATTATTTGGGCAAGAGTATAATGTGTAGATTGTGCATTGTACTAAAATGTTATTGCTTCGTTTTCATCTCGTATCCATTCTTGTTTGACAGTGCACTTTCTTTGCTGACTGGAAGAATTCCAGCAAGTATCCAGCGGTGATCCTGTTCTACATGAATGGATGTTTCTTCTTAGGTAGCATTGGTTTTCTAGCCCAGTTCTCCGACGGTGCCAGGGAAGATATAGTGTGCCGCCATGACGGCACCATGAGACTGGCTGAACCGAGGTCAGTATACCGTACTATATCATTCAAGGATTCAGGCAAGGGCATGACAACCCCACCATGCCATCCCCCCTCACTTTTCCAAGTGGTATACTTTTTGTTTAAATCTGAGAATGTGCGCATCTCCCTTTTTTCACTTTTCAGAGTATTATGCGCCCTTTGTACTATACCACAGGCAGATTCAGGCGGTAACACAAATGGCACATGCCCCCTCCCTCCTTCCCCCTGACAAAGGCACACCTCAACTACAAAAGAATGTGCGTCTTATATCTCATACTTCTGTATTCGACAAATATCAGGGACTGGGCCAGTGGCATCAAAAGCCTTCTATAGAACTTGAGTCCCAGTGTGGCCCTTGTAGCTTGTTTAGTAATTTAGGAACAAAAATACCACCGACTTGCCCATGCAATTACAATATGAACTTTTTTCCCTTCGTCATTCTAGTGAGGGGGAGAATCTGTCGTGCGTGATCGTGTTCGTCATCGTCTACTACTTCATCCTGGCTGGCGTGTTCTGGTTCGTTATGCTGGCCTACTCCTGGCACCTGTCCTTTAGAGCTCTAGGAACACCTAAGGATCCCCTGCAGGGGAAACCAGCCTACTTCCACCTCATATCATGGACCATGCCGTTTGTCTTGGTGGTCATCATACTAGCTATTAATCAGGTAAGCCGGGCAGAAATCCTTGAAAGAGGAGAAAACACTATACTTGGAATGGAGAGCGGCATACATGTAACTCTAAAAAAAGGAGCTAAAATAAAACCCAGGAAAAAAAGAAGAAAAAAAAACAAAGAACTGTCAAACAAGAAACTTAGGCATGAACCCTTTGTTCCAGATTTTAGTTCAGATTTGCAAAAAAGTTGCATTCCATGAAACAATTGAATCACAACTGACAAATCACTGAACTGTTTGCAGTTTCCAAACATTATTTGCCAGGAGAATGGCTGTCCTTAATAATTCTTGAAAATTTGTATACCACTAAAGGTTCTGGTTGGACAGTATATACACTTAAAGGTGATTGGAATAAGGCCATTTGTCTTGGTCATGTCTCATGCAGCTCTTGCTCTTTTCTACTCTACTACCCCTCCCATTCCTTTTCTCCAACATATCAAAACCTCTTGTTTTTTTCTTCTGTTGTAGGTGGATGGTGATTCTGTTGCAGGTATATGTTTTGTTGGTTACCAGAATCACTATTACAGAGCAGGCTTTGTGCTATCACCCATTGGGCTGTGCTTGGTGTCTGGAGGGTTCTATCTTGTACAGGGTAAGTTGCTGTTGTAATGAACTCAGAAGAAATGTGTATACTTTTTTTTCTTTTCCCCTTCTCATTTCTTTATGTATCTCATTCTAATTCTATCCCTCTGCACCTCAGAATAGTTTACTAGATCGATGGCGCATAATAAATGCTGTATTTTATATATATATATATATATATATATATACTTTCCCAAAGCTTTTGAAAGAATATTTTGTTTGAAAGATGAAGCAAAGGGATTATTATTAAACCTTTCAAGCAGAAGATGCTATCCTTCCTGATTGTATTGTTGTACTGCCCTCTTGAGTCTGGTGTATGGTCAGTTATTGTTTTGTATGATTGCCCCTTGTCATCGCCGTGACTCGTACACAAGTTAACCTTGATAAATGGACAGGTAACTGCATATCTATGGTGGTGGGAGTATTACACTTGGTGGCAGCAGTGGGATTCTTACCCCTAAGGTTGATGTGTTTTTTCCCAGGAATTTAGTTATTTAAAGAGATGAAATAAATTTTTAAATGATTATATTTTCTAAATCATCTTCATCATGATCATGATCATGATCATTAACTGTATCATCCTTATCATCACCATCTTCAACATAATTATCGTCATCTACATCTCCATCATCAATGTCATCAACAGCCCCATTATTATCATCATCATCATCATCATCATAATCACCAACATCGTAGTTATCATCATTTTTATCATCTTCTTCTTCATCATTTTCATCATCATCTTCACCATCATTATCATTATCTTCAGCTTTGAAATCTTTGATATATCATTTATTGAATGTTCCCATTTTGAGTACAGTTTTCTGTTTCAATTTTACTGTCTTGTTACAGGTTTAGTAACATTGTGCACAATAGACAAAGAGAATCCAGGTTTATTGAGCGATAAAGCTTCCACCAAAATCAAAGGAACTATAGCCAGGATAGGTAAGACATTATACTCTCATCACACATGTGAAGGAAAAGAAGTTCTTGCCAGAATGGTATGCTTCATGTGCTGGTCTGACATTATTTTGAGAATTTTTCCTTTATAAAATTTGTTTTGGTTTTATTATATATCCTATTCACCTATTCTGTTAGATTGTTGTGGTTTTGTAAAACAGATTCCAACCTTATTTATAGAATGGGGACATGTTTACAACCACTGTACTTTTCACTTATATAGGACTAGATTATATTTACAACACGGCTAGTGTTTTATTAAAGGGAGTATTCATTTTCATTGGCTGCCATTGAGTTTCCTTGGTTTCTCTTAAAGGGGTCGTTTAACAATGTTAAACTGAGATGCGGGGCCCTACGTGTTATCAGTGTCTGTGATATGGTGTTATATTGAAGCCCTAAAAAATTGCACTTCAAAATGATCAAGAAGTGCCTCGAAAAACTAAAAAACCTTTGAGTGACCGGTTTTACCATACTTGTTTTCCCCAATAGGCTGTAGTGTTATGAAAACCGTTTGGCAAACGCAAAACTTGTTTTTGATTTCCAATCATAAATATCTTGATAATCAGACAGGCGATCAGCTTGTAAAAGTCATGGTGTTCCTGACTGACCTAAAGGTTTATAATTATCATTACAGCATGAGCTAAATCAAGGATTTTGTTTAAGGATCTAAGACAAAGTTACAGGCTCCCTTTAAAGTACAGTTAATAGGCCTATAGTATTATGCAAAAGAAGAGAAAGCTATTTATGTAAATCTTGCACTCTTGTATGCAACATTTGATCCAGGCATAATACATGAAAGATGCATGGGTAGGGCTATGGTCGCAATTGAGCTTTTGGTAAGGTTTAGGGTGAGTTTAAGGGTTAGTGTTAGACAGTGTTTTTTCCAGGGTTAAAATTCTAACATTCTGTTATTGTCATGAGAAAATTAAACATGGAGCCTTAATTTGTAACAGGTGTATTTATCAAAATACATATCGATGTGTATTTATGACTTCAGTTATGGTATCTCATTATTTGTCCTATCCCCTCCAGGTGTTTTTGCCGGTTTGGCGTTCGGCTTTGTGTTCATTACGTTTGCCTGTCATCTGTATGAGTTCACCAATCAGGCCCAATGGGAGAAAGGCTTTCAAGACTACTTGGTGTAAGATTATGAACTATGAACTTGTATGTTATTGTCAGGTGGATGATATGGTACCTTTGAAGATGAGAAAGAATAGAGCATAGTTGCAATGATAGATTAATGATATTTCAACCATAGGTCTTTCTATTGAAAGCTATCAGATTAGACAAAAGTGCCTTCTTCCTGGGTTAGAAAGGAAGGTATACATGTAAACAGGGGCAGATCCAGGGGGGGGGGCACACACCCCCTTTTTTTGGTTATAAAAAAAATAGGAAAAAAAGCTAAGAAATATTCACATAAAATGTAACGTTTATCATTCAGAAATGCTTCAGAATGTACTATAGAGCATCTGAAGGCTTTGCGCTCGCAATTATGTACATTTCATGCCCCCTCCCCCTTTGGAAACTCCTGGATCCACCCCTGGTACTTGATTAATGATGTAGAGTGATAAAATATATTAGCAGTAATGATGTTGTTGAGATAAAAGAGAGCATGATAATGTATTTAGTTGTCAAATGTCTAGGATAACACTTTTGTGTTTTTTAAACTGGAAAGGTGCCCAATTGAAAAAGAATTTAGTGTTCTACAATTTCATACCCTCCTATTTCTCAGTATACATACATTGATATTATGTGTTAACATCAAATATGCCTCTACTCGTGTACTCTATTCAGGTGTGAAGCAAACGTTACCTTGGAGAGCCAGCTAGTGGATGATGTGAACACATTGCCGACCTGTGCCCTGAAGACCAGGCCTAACCTTACCATCGTCATGGTCCATCTCTTTTCAATGTTTGGGGCTGGGATCGCCATGAGCATGTGGGTCTGGACCCCCGCCACACTGGCTATCTGGAAGAGAATGTGGAGAAAGTAAGGTGTTTCCCACTGATTCTTATGAAACACTTTAAAGGGATCCGGTAACTTTGTCTTAGATCCTTTAAAAAAATCCTTGATTAAGCTCATGCTGCAATGATAATTATAAACCTTTAGGTCAGTCAGGAACCCCATAACTTTAAACAAGCCGATCGCCTATCTGATTTTCAAGATATTAATGATTGAAAATCGAAATCAAATTTTATGTTTCCCAAACGGTATTCATAACACTAAAGTATATTGGAGTAAACAAGTACCGATATGGTAAAAACGTTACTCAAAGGTTTTTGCTTTTTTGAGGCACTTCTTGATCATTTTAAAGCCCAAAATTAGGGCTTCAATATAACACCATATCACATACACTGATAACACGTAGGGCCATGCGTCTCAGATTTAACATCCTTTTAAATTCATATTACAACTGGAACTTGTAGAGGTGTTGTGGTCTAGTGGATATGTCACCGGACTGTGGATCACATGGTTAGCGGTTCAAGTTCTGCCACAACACTAATGTCCTTTGGCAAGACATTAATCTCCATTTGCCATTCTCCATCCAGGTGAAGTAAATGGGTACCCGGTAGAGAGAAATTACTTGAATGCTTTAGCGCCTTATTATGGCGGCTATTAAAGCTACATCCAATGGTTTGATACTTTGTATTAATAAGTGCAGTAGAGCAGGCGCGTAGCCAGAGTTCGACGTTTGGGGGGCACATACATGTAATCGATCGAGGTAAAAAAAGGGGTCTAAAAAAGTTCAACCGATCTTGGAAATTTTAGGGGGGGGCACGTGCCCCCCCGTGCCCCCCCCCCCCCCCCCCCCCCCCCCCCCCCCCCCCCCCCCGTGGCTACGCGCCTGCAGTAGAGTATATCCTTATAATTATAGCTGTGTCATATTAATGAACCTATTACTATCATCAACTAAAATCTCTGATTGATTAAGATATTCCCACTTTTATAATACAGGGCATGGGGGAAATGAAATTTATAAAAAATTATCCTCATTTTCATGTGTCTTTCCTTTGAATATCATCTTACTTTTGTAAACCTGTATTGTTTCTTTAATAGTTTCATATTAGTCTCTACCTTCTAGTAACACTGTGCTTGTAAATGAAAACCGGAATTGCTCATTTTGCTGAGTTGCATTAAACATGTGGAATTAGTAGGGCGTTGAAAGCATCTGCACTCTTTTCATGCCAAAGATTAATTCATCATCCTTCTACATGTAGCTTAAAATAATAAAAAGCTATGAACAGTAAAATCTTTTTTGTGGTTATATAAATGTATATTCAATAAAACAAAACACTTTAATGATATGATAATTGAAATAAGAAATCTGTGTGTCTTAATACCCCATTTCCCAAAAGTAGTTGAGCCCTTCTGGCTTTTGACACCTCTCTGATATCCTCTCGATGATTGTTGTTCTGTAGGGTCACAAGGCAGCCCATAAATGAACCAGTCAAGTTGAAGAAAAGCAAGATGATCGCCAAAGCCTTTGCCAAGAAACGAGACAAGGGCAACGACGATGAGGAAGACAGACTCTCACTCAGTTTTGAGTCTGTATCCCATGATGATGCGATAGGTACGTGAGCAAATCACTGTGTTATTCTTCTTCTTCTTCAAGATAATTTGCCTTCTTCAATACTGAAGATTCTTGCAGATGCCCTATACTCGGCCTGGTAGGGGTATGCAGGTGGACCATTACACCGGGGTTTCCCCCTACTCTTATACGAATAGTGCAATGTGTTCTTTAATAACGTGCAAGGGTGGTGACTCTCCTGTACACGGGGCCTCCATTTAACGTCCTATCTGAGGGACGGAGTGTTTTCCACTTGACATAACCTGCATCTATGAACAAGGGAAGGGGCACTTAACACACAACGCAGGCTTCAGTCATCCGCCTGGGTGGGAGTCGAATGCGGGATCTTTGGTTCGACAGGCAAAGAACTTTTGTTTGTATTCTTGAATTTGATTTGTTAAGCATTTCCTCAATTATTTGTTTAGAATAGATCATTGGTTTATGATTGAGCATAGCTTACAATTTCGCTTGAAGCATAGGTATATCATTCAGTGACGTGTATTAGTATTTGATTTAGTACCAGTTTTACTTTAAAAAAAAAATATATATTTATAAGAAAATATCCTTTCTTTGTCAAAAATATTGTAGACAATATTCTTAAAGATTCAGTCAGTGTATAACCATTGAATTTGCTTGTTCTCACATGATTTAGTAAATTTTAAGCAGGTAAATTTAATTATTTTTGTTAAGTTCTATGTGAATATGACTGAATAACCATGTTTGCATTGTATGTGACTATCTATATTGTACAGGTATGAAATTGGACTTACCACCTTCTAGTGTGGTCGGTGACGACCCAACTTCATCTTCTTCATGGGGTAATAACGTACCTGTTCGTATGCTGGCCAGGAGGGGAGCTGCATACCCCATCGCCACCATTGGCAGTTCACCACGAGCAACTCCAGGTGAGTTTTGTTCAAGCAATTTAACATTATATTTCTCCTGGTTGAAATCACATATCAGATTCTTCAAGATTTGAGTTTTATAGATATTGTAATGTCCCGCAGGTATTTCCCGCAGTGAGAGTGTCGTAGTCGAGTGGCTTAAGGCATTTGACTGGAGATGCGAAGGTCGAGGGTTCAAATCCCGACACGGCACTAATATCCTTTGGCAAGATATTTACCTGCACTTGCTACTCTCTACCCAGGTGTTAAATGGGTACCCGGTAGGACGCGAAACTTCATGTGGTTGGACGAGCAAGTGTGCGCTTGTAAAATGGCGACTGGCTGGAATGCTTCCCAGGGAGTGGAAAATGTGCACACATTGTGTGCCGGTAAGGCTGAATCCAATGACCGGGGTAATAATATATCTGTAAAGCGCTTAGGCACATCGTTGGATCAATGTATTGAGTGCTATATAAAAAACTGAATATTATTATTATTATTATACTGCCAGCGAAGGCAGGGAGTTCACACACATCTGTACAGCATGGAAGTGCTCGAAACGGAATGTCAAGTTGTTGAATAAATAAACTGTTTCCCTGAATATCCTGGGTCAAGATATATCTTTGTCAATGTCAGAGCGATAGAGATATTACTGATACAATGTGGGGTTTTTTCTGCCATACTGGGAGATATCAAGCTTATGTTATTTAAAACAAGATGACTCTGCCCATTGAAATTGTTTATGAATGGTAGAAATTATGTCATATACCATTTCTGACCATTTAAGGCTTTGTCTTTAATACCAAATGATGCTACTGGCATGGCAGGTATTCAAACCGTGTACCATATGGTTCATGATTCAGTGACACTACACCTCTTACTTTATGAGTAATGATTCCCTGTAGCAAATCTTGACACTTAATTTAGATTGCGTTTGTTTTTCTTTTCTTAGATTCCTCAGACAGTGGCAGGCCACTTACAAGAGGCAGAACGACCTTAGAGACAGAGGCAGTCATCGAGCCTCCGCCACGAAACAACAGACGAACCCAGTCTTCAAGGTCCAGGAGACAGGGCGGGGCATCATCCTCAAGAAAGCACCGTCTGCGCAACATGCACCACCCAGGCCGACTTGAGACGCCTCTCGATGATGCCTTCTCTGATGCAGAAGACTGCATGGAGCTTCCAGAGGCCCCTGGCATGGTTGGGGACAGTGTCAACATGGTGCAAGGAGGGGCGTGGGGTCACAAGGGGAGATCGTTGTCCACAATTCCTGTGCTGCCAGCCATACAGCAAAAGAAGAGAGTGTCCATCATGCAGCAGCCAACCATGTTTGAAATGCCTGGAGAGAGTGGGATTGAGCATGCCCTTTAACCTTCTATGCCAACACTTTCTGACTCGACTAAAATGCTGAAGTAGTTTAATCCTGTTCCATCTTCAGTTTAGCATAATTCAGGAGCAGAAGATGGCTTTTGATCCCTTGGCTTGGTCAACATTTGGCTAACAATTTTGCAATTCACTGTACCGGTATGTTTTAGGGTATACCCTGTACCAGGATCAATTTGGCCTGATTTGGAACAGATTGAATGCTTTTTTAATCTCCTGCATGTAGTTTGGCCAAACACTCGACTTACACTTTTTGGCTCCACTGTGTCTGTGTTTTAGGGCCAGTCATTTTTGTCTGATTGGAAAAGCAGAACATGCCCTGTAGAATGTGGACTTTGGTCCCCCAGCCTGGGCAACACTGACTTCATATAAGATTTTGAGGAAGTAACTTGATCAGTGTGGCTTGAGTTTGGAGTGAACAACAAACCATGTGGATGCACAGAGCAGCTCCTAATTTGATACATGGTGTGTCTCATGTTAATCTAGTTGATGTCCTCACGGACATGATCCAGAGGTGTAGATATGTCTTCAAAAGCGACCTTTTAAGCGCAGTCTCTTCTGTGATTGGTATATTTTTTACCTAATTACCAAGAAAGAAAGCATAGGAATCTATGGCTTCCTTTTGAAGGGACTTTGTAATTTACCATTAATGATTAACCCGAAGGCACTTGCACATTGACTTGGTGTTGGAGATATCCCAAGGACTAAATATTTGTCAATGTGGCACCACGGTGTGATCAGAATCATAACAGCTTGCTGCAGAACTGTTTAATTTTGGTGCCTGCACATTTTTACAATGCATATAATTATGTTGATTGCTTTAGAAAAGAGTCAACGAGAATAAATGTACATATAATTGTGATGTGATTTGTTTGATATTATGATGTGAAAAATTACCCTGATATTCATCGCTTATTCATATTGGCCTTTTAGAGCTGAGAAGGATTTGAGTAAAGCCCTTAGTAGAGCTGCCAACCATTCCGTTTTTTCCTCCAAATTACGGTGTTACGTTTTTTCTTCATAAAATACGTTTTCTAATTTTGTTTTGTTTGTTGTTGTTTTTTTTTAATTTTTGTTTAATTTAAATTTTTTTATTTTCATTTTTTAAATATTTTTATACGAAATGCTGATAATACCAAAATAACCCCCCCCAAAAAAATTCCTGCTTGTATGGAAAAAGCAGCATGATGAATGAACATTTCTGCATTGGAAGTGTGTCGCGCGTGGTTGTAAGTTTCGTTTTTATGAATTCCTTTTTTTTGCTTAAAATTCCTTTTTTTGGTCGCACAAGGTTGGCAGCTCTGCCTTAGCCTGGCATAGTACATAACTTGTTGTTACAAATTACTTCTGACTATGTATAATCATTACATCATTTTATATGTTACATGCAAAATGATATGCAAAGTGCCAATATTAACAGTATGGACAAACTTGTGCCTTGATATTTCTTGAACAGAGCCAAAACCTTGATTATTGTGATGGGGTGCTTCAAAGTAACCAATAATTTGTAACCAAAGACATGTATTGTCAGTATTCATCTATCTTGATTCAAATTAGACAAATGCAATATATATCATGGATTGTTCACCAACAGTATGATTCATAGAACAATAATAAGGTATGTTTATGTATAGATATATACATCATCAAGAACATACCACATAATATGTGTGCTGGCTTTTTTTTATTAAGTGTGCTCATTATCAATTCAACTCGAGGTCAAGTAATAGTACATTGTACATAAGAAAGAAAGATGTATGATAAGTAAAATAAAGAAATTTCTAGATATTTCTTATTTTCTTAACATTGTTACAATCATTGAATAGTGAGATGTGGACTGAAGTGTCAAAAAAGGGAAGAAATTTTCAAATTCGCTCTTTGCCTTTTGTCTTCCCATCCCAAGGATCATGTGCCTTATAGTATTAATTTGGTGCTCATTTTATATTGCTTATTTCAAACAATAATTTATATCATGTTTCCATCCACCGAGATATACATATCATCATCCTTTTACTGAGAAAATGTATAAAATGCTATTATCATGAATGTGTCAAGTGTTTAGAATGGACTTCAGATTTGATATTCATGTTTCCCAATATTGAATCAGAATAGCATCTGGAGTATAGTAATCTTTCCATGATTCAAAACGAGAAGAAAATAGTTGTTTTGATTTAAGCCTATAAGATATAAAAATATTCTTTTAATATACATATATGTATAAATATTCACTGCCTGTACTTTAATACTGTATTGATAATAATGGTTGTCAAATTGATTTGGTGTAAAATGGGTATCAGCTGGCGATGGATAAACCAAGACATTTTGGGTCAAAGTTCCAAGTTGGGAGTACAGTTGTCCCGTATCTGGATGTCTTTGCTACTAATTTGTCAGTGCATGTTAAAGGTACACTGTCCTACTTGTAGCTACTTGCTCCCTCTATATAGAATACTCCCCCAATCGGTGCCTGTTGGTCCCCATGACCCTATTTTTATGCCTCCTTTACGAAGTAGCCGGAGGCATTATGTTTTCGGGTTGTCCTGTACGTACGTACGTACGTCCCGTTCTTGTGATCGCGTTATCTGAAGAACCGATTGATGGATTCCTGCCAAACTTTGGTCATGTATTTATCTTGCAGAGCCGATGAACTGATTAGATTTTGGGGTCATGAGGTCAAAAGTCAAAGGTCACAGGGCTCATTATTTATGCAAAAACAGCTCGCGATCCCGTTATCTGAAGAACCGATTGATGGATTCCTGCCAAACTTTGGTCATGTATATATAATTGCAGAGCCAATGAACTGATTAGATTTTGGGGGTCACGAGGTCAAAGGTCAAAGGTCACAGGGCTCATTATGTATGCAAAAACAGCTTGTGATCGCGTTATCTCAAGAACCGATTGATGGATTCCTGCCAAACTTAGGTCATGTATGTTACTTGCAGAGCTGGTGAACTGATTATATTTTGGGGTCACGAGGTCAAGGTCAAAGGTCATGCGGCTCATTATGTATGCAAAATAGCTTGTGATCGTATTATCATTAGAACAGATTGATGGATTCCTGCCAAACTAAGGTCATGTATGTTACTTGCAGAGCTGATGAACTGAGTAGATTCTTGGTTCATAAGGTCAAAGGTCATGGGCTCATTATGCATGCAAAAATAGCTTGTGAACGCATTCTCATTAGAACTGACAGATGGAATACTATTTAACTCAGGACATCTTGCAGAGCCAATGAACCGAGTAGATTTTAGGGTCATGAGGTGAAAGATCAAAGGGTCATATATGTATATGAGAAATTGCTTGTAATCACAATATTCTGAGAACCTGTTAATGGATTACAATTGAACTTGAATTTGAAAAATTTCTTCTGTTTTGGTTTGTAAAATTGCTCTATGATGGAGGCATCATTTTCGACTGTGCGCAGTCGAATTCCATCTAGTTCTATAATGAGAAAGCCACCTGTTACAGTGACCTCGCTGGCTCGCTGGGTGGTCTAATCCCTTTTAGCTGAAGTAGTAAAGCCTGCCTTTAAATTCAGCAAGCTTAATGAGAGGCCTGGGGAGCATTTCACAAAACTTGTCATCAGTGACATGACAGTTTTTGTACTGAAATCCTTGCTTCTGATTGGTTATCAGCAGATTTGTCACTGATTTTTATCACATGTCATTGAAAAAAGGCTTTGTGAAACAGGTCCCTGTTGTCTGCTGAGAGCCAGAATCAAGTTTACACAATGCAGACTGGTGTTACTTCCCCACCCCCCCCCCCCCCCCCATTGCTTTCAACAAAGGAGAAATTCTTTACATGATCAACGATATTCAGAACAACCGATGCCTGCATTTTTTCCTTTCTTTTCAAGACTAATATATACCACAGTCTCATTGCAATCGCTGAGTTAATTCTTCTTTGAAATATAGTCACAAAATTTATTTCATGCTTTATCCAAACTTTGCCCCCCCCCCCCTCAATAATAATATTTGAACAAAAAAAATGGTTATGAGATATGACCCTGGTACAAGTCCCTTGTGCTCCTGTATTTGAGACGTTTCACTACCTTACTACTTTGATATACCAAACCAATGAGAGAATTGTGTGCTACAAAATGCCTTTTGAGTTTGTATTATAGATTAGTTCAAGATTATTTGTTAGTGAATGACAGATGTATAAATATTAGTAATACAATTTTGTATTTTGTACTAGCTAGGCCTATACCTGATAGGAATGTGTACTACTTGAAATCCATGTGTAAATATTTCATGCCGCCATACGGCTGTATTGCATAATGTCTAATTCATTTTGCCGAAATGAAGTGAAAAGCTGTTTTTGATGGATTTAATACATGTTTCTCACTTTTCAGACTATCCTAGATATTGTTGTATATTATCCCTATGTAGTTGTGGGGATTTCTTTTAATGGTGGGAAGTTTTCATTTTACTTGTAATACCTGATTGTGTTTCACTTGAGAATTGAAACATAAAATTGGGATTGTGGTCAGTAAATGAGAAATATCTTTACGTTCAGTTCGTTCAGTTATGTCATTTCTTTTTAGCAAACTGTCTTTTAGCTTCAAGATTACTTAGCTTGATGTGAAAAATATATACAATGTAGAAAGGTAAAGAGTGGAGCCAAATCTGTAGAAATGGGTCTTAAAGCAACAAATTATTATATTAATACAAGTTGTGAATATATTAGATTTCTTTTGTTTACATAAAATGATATTTAGATATAGCCATGGGGCCCATCTAAATTTAATTTTTATGGTAGACCTTTTATTCTTGTAAAAAATTACTGTTTAATTATCTTTCATGCCAAATGAATTTTTTGTTTCCTTGTTTTCTTCCTTTCCCTTCTCGTGGTTTGAATATTTTTTAAATGTTTTATTCATTCCTCTTAAGTTTTAATATTTTCTTTGTTGAAGGATTTTTAAAAAGGTCTCTTAGTTTTTTGTTAATTTTATTTTAGATTCTATGTACATACCCACTTTTAGATTGATCAGAATCTACTGAATGTGCCAAAGTTTTATATTTAGTTGAACAATGTTGATAGTACAAGTGTAATGCATGATCTTAATTTTTTCCAAAGCATAATTTGTGTAAACACTAATAGGTATTAAGAATTATGTAATGAATTATGATTTTTGTAGGCCTACCACTAGAGTGAGGGATGTTGAATTTTCTACCGTATATCTCACCTCTTATTTCACATCAAATTGTACTTGTTTGAAATTTTTCCAATAGTATGTTGGCTATTTGTGTGCTACAATCCAATATACCGCGATACTCTTCCTGTTTTGAAAGAAAATAATGATATTGTCAGTTGAGAAGTTGGCATTGCCAATTATTTCACTACATATTACCTCATGGTACGTTAACCAGTAGGCCTACCCTTTGAGGATTTATAAACAATTAAAAAACAAGAACAAATAAACAAATAATTCTGAAGAGTAAGCACCGGATAAAGATTTAAGTTCTGGATTATTTTAACTGGGGTAAGAACAAGCTGCATTCCTAATAATTTCTTCTAAAGTGGAGAAACAAATTCATTTGTGCAGATGACTATTCTCTGCATTTATTTCCCCAAATATTTAATATTATGAACCATAACAGGAAAAACTAAAACTCAACAATGCCAGATTCACTGTACCTTCAACCAAATATATATATAAAAAGTTCTGAAAAAAATGTTGAAAAAAAGAGAGGGGTGGGAAAAAAATATCTTTATATTCATGAACTCATCCTTCTGGATTGTTGTATTTTTTATTTGTAAAATTCTTAATTGTAGATTTATACATTTGATTAAAATTCAAATACCTCAATATCTTGTCATGTTTTTATTTTGTGTTTTTGATGAAGTTGATGGGGATCGAAATAAGAATTTCGAGATGCATGCTGCACGAAGCCAGGAATTTAGCCTATTAATTGGAGAGAGATCGACACAGAGAAAATGAGTGAGAGGCGAGGAAAAGGGATATTCAGAAGATGGGCCAGGGTGGAGGGTGGGTGAGATAGGTGGAGACAAAGATGAACAGACAGATAAGAAAGAAAGAAAAAAAGTTTACAGAACACAGACTTTTTATAAATCCTCAAACTCAAGATCGCGCATAATAATAGGAAACAAATCTGGGAATTTCCCTTGCACACATAGACGTAGCCCCAGACGCTCGTAAATTATATCATACATTGGTATTACATTCCCCCCCCCCCCCCTTTCATTTTATCAGAAAATTTGACTGATAAACATATATAAGATTTTTGAAATCATTGATATTAGTTTGCAACGGTTTTGAAATGCTGGTCCCGACTTCCAATGCCGAAATGATATCCTTGCTTCCATGTACCACTCTCGTAAGAGTTGATAAATATTCAGTGCAGTCTGATGTCACAAGTAGCGTTCAAGTACATCACAGACACTTGGCATTTGGATTTTTTCGACTCGACTATCGGACTTGGCAATTCATCGCCTCATTCGAAATTGTGTGGTATAAACACGAACAGGTAGACTTTATATTCTCCATCAATTAAATCACACAATTACTCAGTAAAATGTACATTTAATTTACGTTTGGCTGATTTGTTCGTCCATGCCATGCCCAGCGCCCATCCATGGCGATGGCCCATGCGCCATGCGCCATGGCCATGGCGCATGCCTGCCCCTACGCCTCGGCCTACCTGGCCTTGCGAGTTACGGTTCACTCAACTTCACTGCATGTGTGTGTGTCGGTCATTTGGTTTGAATCAAGAAGATTTGCTTGAAAAATTAAGTAGAGCCGCTAGTATGCTTGCCCAGCTAGGCCTAGGCCTACTACGGCGCTAGCGCTAGTCTCTAGTATAAGTAGGGGTGCGTTCAATCAACACCTTTTCACCCTAGAATCACAGTTTTCAAAGACATTTACTGATTTAGGGTCTTTCTAGTTCAAAACACGGTTGTGTTCAAGTGAATTTTCGTCGGTCGTAAAAATAAACGTGTTTAAAAACACAAAGTGAAACGCTGAAAAATATGCGTTTTGTATCGTAATTCTGCGCGAAAATTAGATTGAACGAACGGAGAACGGATCTCAATCATGATTAGGTCTAGGCCTATATGATGTCATTATCGTGGCCTTTTCCGTCATGTTATTCCTCGTTTTCCTTCTATAATTTTTTCTCTTTTTGTTTCAATTACCGTATGTTTTTCTTCTTTTTTCCATCTTTCATCTTCTCTTCTATCTTTCCATTATCTATTCTTTATCGTTTTCTCTTTCTGTCTTTCCTTATGTTATTCTTTGTTTCTTCCTTCTATTCTTATGTTATTCTTTGTTTTATTCCTTGTTTTTTCCTTCCATTTTCCTTCCATCACATTTTCTTATGTAATTCTTTGCTTTCATCGATCCTTTTTTCCCACCATTCCTTATGTTATTCTTTGTTTTTTCATCTTTCATCTTCTCTTCTATCTTTCCATTATCTATTCTTTATCAATTGTTCCTTCTGTCTTTCCTTAATAGGTCTATGTTATTCTTTGTTTCTTCTTTTAAACTTGTAAACTTATTCAAATAATGGGTTGAAATCAACTGTCCAGGTTTAAGGACTATACGGAGTGTCGAGTTAACTGCATATATTTTTTTTTATAATAGACTACAAGCTTTTTCTCTTTTTTCCCTTATTGGTCTATAGCCTTACTACTTGCCAAGAACGGAACTTGCGTGGATAAGCATGGACATTCACAAGAAAAGGCCCAAGCCGACAGATGGAAGCAATCCATTTGAAGGGATGAAGATCGCTTCCCATGATGCACTGGTCGCCCTGAAGCAACGTTCTAAGTGTTCTGAGTGTCGAAGATCGAGGAAGTACTTCTGCTATAATTGCTACGTACCTGTTCCTGAACTCAAAGACAAGCTACCAATTGTGAAGGTATCTACTTTGCTCTTCCTCTCCCCCAGGGGAATTTATTTGTTATGCTGTTTTGTTCCTTGTTTCATATAAGTAGCTTGCATACATGTACATATAGGCCTGTGGCTATGAATCTTTGTGGAAATACATTGTTGTTTACAGGAGCTCTTTAAATTTACCTGAGCACTTTTTTAGAGCTTTGTAGTTCTTTAAGCTTTGCATTTAGATTATCCTTCTCTCCCATCATATATAGCTCTGCCTCTTTAAAGTAAATATATTCTCTTTATCAATGTGCTGGCAGTTGCCTGTCAAGGTTGATGTCATCAAGCACTCAAGAGAGGTGGATGGAAAGAGCACAGCTATCCATGCTGCCGTCCTGGCTCCTGATGATGTCAGCATGTACACCTACCCAACCATCCCAAACTATGATGATCCCTCTGAAAAGGTAAGAATAGTTCATAAACTATGGTCTATCTATCCCAAACTATGATGATCCCTCTGAAAAGGTAAGAATAGTTCATAAACAATGGTCTATCTATCCCAAACTACGATGATCCCTCTGAAAAGGTAAGAATAGTTTATAAACGATGGTCTATCTATCCCAAACTACAATGATCCCTCTGAAAAGGTAAGAATAGTTCATAAACTATGGTCTATCTATCCCAAACTACGATGATATGGAAAAGGTAAGAATAGTTTATAAACGATGGTCTGTCTATCCCAAACTACGATGATCCCTCGGAAAAGGTAAGGATAGTTCATAAACTATGGTCTATCTATCCCAAACTACGATGATATGGAAAAGGTAAGAATAGTTTATAAACGATGGTCTGTCTATCCCAAACTACGATGATCCCTCGGAAAAGGTAAGGATAGTTCATAAACTATGGTCTATCTATCCCAAACTCAAGTTCAAGTTCAGTTTATTTCACATCCAATAAAAAACTTACAGCATTATAACATTCAATACAATTATATAAAATGCAATAAAATTATATAAAATATGATAAGAACAAATACAACAACAGTAACACTAAAAATGATTAATGGGTGGAGTAGGGATGTGAGGGACCAGAAAAGGCCATTGGCCTATCTAGGCTGGTTCCCTTTGTCTACAACCCCAAAAGTAAATTCTTCAGTAATTAAAAGCAAAATATTGACAATATAGACATTACATTAACTAAGACATATATACACACATACAAAGGACAGGCAGAATTAATAAAAGCTAATTAAAAAAGTATATTGTAACTTGATATTTGTTTGTGTTTAAAATTAGGCTTAAAACTAGACAATGTCGGACATGCTTTGAGAGGATCCGGTAAGTTGTTCCAAATAATGGATCCTTTATATTTTATTACTGTTCTTGACTACAATGATTCCTCTGAAAAGGTGAGAATGGTTCATAAACGATGGTCTATCTATCCCAAACAATGATTGGGACGATGATTCTGTTTATGATTTCACTTGGCAGGCATCATTTACATTAACTGTAGTCCTACAAATTATAAAATTCAATATTCCGCTAGAATTATCTCCATCGTTGATAACAGAAATAAAGACTGCTATTGACATTAATCCCATAGGTGGTGCTAGTCTTTCCCAGCAGTGATGCTGTATCCTTAGAAGAATTTACACCGAGACCGGCGAAAGAACAGGACACCACCAAGGAGGAAAGCAAAGCTGTAAGTAGGAAGGACATACAGTAAATCTCAGTGTATAAGACGCACCTGTGTATAAGGCGCACCCCTATTTGTTGTTGTTGTTTTGTTGCCGAAAACCCAGGCGGGGAAGGACCTTCATTTAATATCGAGGTGCAGTTGAAGGCGCCGATTTGTGCTTGTGAACTCGTCACAAATAATAGTAACAATGTCGTTTTTAGAAGAATGTGTAAGATCATTAATGTAAATTGAGGAATTATTATTATAAACTACATATTGACATCTATTAGACAGATTACTTTCAAACCAAGATGACAGACAAATTTGAGTGTTGTTGTAGTTTCCGAGTGGTGAGTCAACACACCGATTACTGAGCTGGGAGACATTGCCAGGCATAGTGCCATAAATCGAAAATAAAAAATAAAAAAAATAAAAAATATCTGTACCTGTGTATAAGACGCACCCCCGACTTTCAATTTTTTTCGGCGGCAAATATGTGTGCCTTATACACAGAGATTTACGATATACAACAGGGACCTGTTTCACAAAGCCTTCTCCCAATGACAAATGACAAATATCAGTGACAAATCTGCTAATAACCAATCAGAAGCAAGGATTTCAGTAGCTTTTACAAAAACTGTCATTTGTCGCTGATGACAAGTTTTGTGAAATGCCCCCTGTTCTTAAAACACAAGGCGGTGTTTAAGCAAGGAATCTCACTCGGTTTGTGATTTTCATTTTGTCAACAGCATTCTAAAAGATAGGTCAGCTACATGTAAACCAATTATATACATGATGATACCTCTCTGGAAGAAATACTTGTGGGTACTCTTGCAAGTGTCTTCTATATATTGGTATCAATTCACTTAGTGCATCAATTTTGAAGAATGCTCCTGTATTCCTGTTTATGAAAATTGCATGGAATAATTGTGACCCGGCACCACAAAACCACCTAAAAGGTCTAATTTAAAATAAAAATTGTTTAGGTCTTATTCTAAAATGAGGTTGAGATTCTCAGCTGAAAAAATGATGTATTACCGATGCTCAACATAATTGGATGTTCCTAACCAAATGGAAAAAAAAATGTTCTTCTAATTTTTTCTTGTTATAGCATATCTACAATGCATTTTAGAGTGTGTAAAGTTTCTATTTCAGAAAGTGATTTCCTTTCATTTAGAGACACTGTTTGTTACCTTTCTGCTTTATCTGATCAAGGATGCCGATGATAAAACTAAAGATGCAGAGTGTCCATTCCAGAGGGTGGTCTTCATAGACTGTACCTGGAATCAGACAAACCAGATCTACAACGATGTACGACTCAAGGGTATGTAAAATAATAATATTTAGCTTTTATATAGCGCTTAATACAATGTCTCTAAGCGCTTTACAAATATAATTTTACCTTGTAATGTAATGTTCCTTCAGGACTGCCAAAACTGCCATTTTATCTGCCACAGTTAAAGCTAACATTGACTCTCTGTGTGCTAACTATCAAACTTTGTTTCAGACAAAATTGTTGGCAAATTGTTATAATGTAAGAGTTAAGTATAGTTTAGGCCACCTGTGCAGAAAACTGCATACAGGGCAAATTTTCAACTTTGATATACCTTTTGTACTGATATGCCCCATTAAAAAGGATAAATACATACATTATAGACACATACGATCAATTAAATGCTGATGTTTATGATTTTACGTTTAGCGGTAATGTGTGAAAGTATAGTAAATCAGAAAGTAATTGAATACAGGTAGAGGCATATTGGAGACCAATTTATCTTGTTTTTCAATTTTTGGCAGGCCTCCAATGCGTTGTCATAAACGACCGGAAAACCTGTTTTTGGAGGGGGCAGCGTAAATCCGACTCATACCTGGCAACCATCGAAGCCATCTACTACTTCATGGTCGACTACCAGCAGGCATTCCTGCAGGGGAAAGAGAGCAAGGATGAGTGTCGCTATGACAACCTCCTCTACTTTTACAGCTTCATGTATGGCCTTGTCCATCAGGATGACAGTCCGGATGCAAAGATGAGGAAAGAGGATAATGGGTAAAGTCAGGTAGTGTTTTAGTTGAGAAACCTTGGAACCGAACTGGTCTCGAATGTTGAAAGTCTGATGGTTTTGAGCCGAGGCAGACACAAACCAGATGAAAACAAAAGTCGTTGCTAGGAAAGATGAAAATAAGTTAAATAAAATGGTAACGCTATAGCTCAGAGCCGATACAGAAGGTTTTGAGCTGAGCCAGATGCAAACCAGCCCAGTCAAAAAAAAAAATTGCAGGGGGGGGGGGGGGGGGCTCCATTTTTTTATAAATTTTGGGGGTTACTTTTCCATTAATTCATAAAGGATACAATTTGTTAAGTTTCTTAATAGGCTTACTGGCTTAAATATTTTATTTAGGTTTCAGGCTTCCTGCTTCATATTTTTTGAGAGGCCAAGGCCTCCATGAAATCGAAGGTAATTTCTCAAAAAGGACCGAAAAGTTAACCTATTAAAAATAGAGCATTTATATAGTTAAATAAATAAAGTTTTTAATGCATTGATTTGATGCAAGAACATATCATAGTCGTACGATGAACTGTACATTTCTGTTAAATCCACACTTAACCCAGTTAGTCAACTTGTCAATGTAAGTGAACACATGTCAGCATTACATCGAAATCTAATGACACAACAGCAAAAGTTAGTATCACACTTACAGGTCACACAGTCACAGGTTCATACTTTCCATATATGCATGAACATGCCCCAGGCCATGACTATGCCTGTCAACTGTGCAGTGATTCAACAGGTTTTCACAAATCTAAGCAGCAGTATCCTGGTTCACTGAATACAGCAGCTAGAACCCCTCCTTTAATAATAATGATAATAATAAGCAAATAATTACCGTTGGTGAAGATGATTGGACAAACTATCACTTCCGAGGCGATCTGGACGTAGCTATCTTTCCGAAGCGAGATAGCATATACATTCTGATCGACGAGGAAGTGATATTTTGCCATCGCCTGAAACCAAAAGGTGATTATTTGCTTTATATTCCACATCTAAAACAATTTAACTACAAAATGAAAAGGACGCGTATGCATCTACATAAAAGACACCTTGGCCCAAATTCACACCAAAAAGTTTTAGTTTAACCCAACCCCTTGAGGGCACGGTGCGCGCATGTGTTTTCTTTAATTGCGCTCATTGGTAATGCGCGCTTAATTACGCCTGTTTTAGTGCACTTTTGGATAATCTTCAGTGAAAGTGCGCGTTGCCCTGTGTAGATAGTACCTCTATCTTCATTGAAAGTGCATTGCACTGTGTAGAAAGTAGTACTATCTACACAGTGTAACAAACTTTTTGCTTCTCCCATCAATAATGGGCAAACTATCTTTCATCACGTGATTTACTTTTGACCAATCGAAAAGCAAGATTCTTAGTATGTGGGATATAATATAAAATATCTATGAGCGCTAAAACAATTAGTACCATAGCGCTTACAAATACCAATATATGAAAGAGGAAAAAAATTTATAGTCTCTGAACTTTCCTCCCTCTCGGACTTTCTCACTGTAGTCTGAGAAAGCTACTCGGACTAAGCCTGTAACAACGGCTGCATTGACCTCTAATGGTTCCTTGTCTTGTCTGGTCTTTGCATTAATACATGACTGGAATGTGGCTACATCTTACCTCATCTGCATCTTGGTATAACATATATGTTGTGCAATGCAGTGATCACTCGGAAAGTAACTCGCATCAGTCGGAGGTGGCCTGCTGGCAGGATTAACGAACAGCTCCTGCTCATTGAAAAGATGGAGATGCCTTCGCATCTCTTGAACACAGCCAACTCCAAGCCCAACCAGCTGAGTGACCTTCCAAGAGACCTCCTTTGCTATTGGTCTCAACAGTCCTGTTACGGTATTTGACTTACACCTTTGCTTCTTTGTTGATGTCAGCTTTCCTGGCAGGATTAACAAACAGCTCCTACTCATTGAAATGGCGGAGAAGCTTTCGCATCTCTTGAACATGGCAAACTCCAAGCCCAACCAGCCATGCCATGAATCACTTCAACAAAACCATCGAGTATGGCCAGCATTTTCCACCTTAACGCCTCACCACCACTTGACCCTTCCTCCCCCCCCCCCCCCCCCCCCAATATCAAGCTCCTCAAAGTTGCAATCCACAAGCTCCACAAGCCTATTCAGAGGATTCAAGCATTGTTGTTGACCCTGTTGAGACCTTTATATCATGCTTCAAACCCACCATTCCGAGTGACTAGACAACTCAAAGGCTGACCTCCTACCACATGCCATTAATCGCTGTGCTGTGAATCATTGATCGGCTCTGCTCTTAATTGCAGACCTGATAATTGCCCAATTTAAATCATTTTTTCCGATTATTTTCCCCCTCTCTCCCCCCCCCCCCGATTTTCCCCCAATTTTTTTACTCAAAGGGGGGGGGGGGTGATTTATTTTTTAGTGCTCACTACAGGGTTCGTACACTTACACATTTTTTTTAATTCCCTGACTTTCCATTACTTTCCAAAGTAGGATAATGTAAATTTCCATTTCCATTTTCAATGATGTACATGTCTTAATTTAAAGCATACAACTACACATCATCGCAATACTAAAAAGCAAATCACAAAACTAGCGTGTATGGTCTGTCATGCACACTTACACATTGTTCAGAAGGGAGCTTTTTTTAATGTACGGTAACATATAAAATATTATAGCAATAAAGGAGCAGGTTTCTAGTACATAACAATTGCTAAACTACATATTCTTCAGTTCTACACAATTGTTGTCCAGTGTCTTCATGATTGCATTCAGCTGGTTTTGTTTGTCTTTTGCACTTTTTCGCATACTGTTGGACTTTGCTATGAGAGTCGGTTTGCCTGTTGCTTCAGCTTGCATTGCAAAGTCATCTGCTGCTTTTCCAAGTGACTTGGCATCGGCTTCAACTCTCTTCTTTTTCAGTTTTATTTCTACTATTTCATCTGACAGACATTTAATTTTTTCTGTTTTCTTCTCCTGTTCTTTCTGTTTTCTCTGCTCTTCCAGATGGGCATGATACTGCTGTCTTGCTCCTGCAGCAGCTGGTAACAGCTCCTTTGAGATTTTCACCTTACTCAACCAATTGCCTGAATGTCTTCACAGATGATTTTCTTTGCTATATATGAACTTTCTGCCAAGTTGTCTATCTCAACTTGTCGATTGACAGAAAAGCCTCGTTCAACAGATGCATTGCCATGGGATAAAATTAATACCATCCAAACTACTTTCCAGAGATGCTGATATTCACTTCTACCATTTATCCTTTCATAAAGAAACACATCCAACCTTGATGAATAGTTGTAGTCTTAGAAGTCTCCCAAGCTATTGTCAACATCAAAAAGTAAGGCACTGTATTCATCCAGAATACTGTCACATGATGCTTCGTTAACATGATTTGTGTCAACAAGAACTTGGAGTGTTCTTCTCAACTTTTGTTTATTCTGTTCAGTCATGTCTTTCTTTGCCATATCATGACGGTCCGGCTGCACATAATATTATTCATGAAGGCAAATTTGGCAAGTCAATAGTTAGGCTTTGATTATTGACACAAATAATGAGTTGTAAATGTAAACATCTGAATTATGTTTGAGAGATGCTAGTGACCTACAAAAAATGTAAGGACATAGCTTCATGAAAAGAAAGCCCATATATGTTTTCAGATGATAAGTTTGGGAAAGTTATTTGGGGTGTGATATGGTGCAAAGCAGTTTCTGTCTTTATTTAGGCAGAGATGCACATCACACTTGGTGCACTGCACAAAGGAGAGGAATCCTCCCTGACAGTGCTTGCACCTTTGGCGCTTTACTACCCATAGGGGCAAATGATCTACACCATCCTTCCCGATGTCATTAGCCGGACTCTTCTTCCATTTCACTGGTGCTGGAGATGGCAGAGTGGCTGTGTTGCTTGGTCGCCCCCTCGCACGCTTTCCTGCTGAGGTAAGGCAGCTTGCTGCAGATGCCTGAAATTTGCGTAGTGGCAAGTGTGAGCAACCAAGCTGACCACAGTGCCTGCGATATAGGAGCCACGCATTCACTACAACCATTGTGAGGGTATGGTACCAGATGTAAATGTACCACCTCTTGGACCTGACTGGGTACTTGTACAGAGCAGTGAGAGAATCATGGAGATCTACACCTCCCATGAACTTGTTATATTCCTTTACTATGCTTGGTCTGGATACTTGGACATGCTCCTTTTTTGCTTTGTCCCAACGTCGAACGCTGTCAGTCGGATCAACCCCAACAAATGTTGAGAGGAGTGTGACGGGCTTGTTGTCATACCACTTGATGGCGACGACACCCACGCTATCCTCAACCCAATGGTCTGTTGCTCCTCTCCCACATTTCTTAAGTTCTTTATCGTCCATTAGTCTGCAATCCTTCAGCCTGTTGCGACTCATCACATCGGCTACTGGCAGATACCTAGTCTCTGTCTCCCAGTATCCACGCGTACTAGGCATCCGCACAATTCCCATATGGTAATATTGTCCAATGAACTGTTCAAGCTCTTTTGTACTTGTGCAGACCGAAGAACCATCTTCTTGAACAGAATATAAATTAGTCTGGTCTGCAGTTGTAGCAAGTATGTCATCTGTCAGAAACATTTTCACATACTGATAAGGTGTATATGGCTCTACAGGTTGGTCAGAGAACTGCTGCTGAAAATCTGGGATGACAGGGTTGAATTCCTTTTTTTGCCACAAGTATCTTCTTGTTACCCTGGCTGTCTACATCCATCGGTTCTTCATCATCTGATGACAAGTCGAGCTCTTCTGCTTCACTTTGGTTGCCATCTATAACATCCAAGCCATCTATGATGGCATGTAATGCTTCTTCTGCCGTGAAGATCTTCGGCCGTGGTTTACGATTTGAGGTGGCCATTTTAGCCTGAAATACCAAAAAAAAAGATAAAATTAAAAAAAGAATGTTTCTTTCTAGATAACCACACAAATCTTTGATTATCCATTCAAAACAACCACCCCAATTGTAATTGTTAAAAATAAAAATTTAAAAAGAAGAAAGAAAAAATCCTTATAATTAAAAATAATAAGTTAGAAGTCAAACTTTGCAGTCAGTGTGTACTATGCTATGGCCGGGTTCCGCTCGCTAGTCATAAAGACCGCTATTCATAATAGTGTGTAACTTCCTACACCTTGAGCGATTATGAATAGTGACCCCCTTTTCGTTTTGCTACATGTTATGAATACCGGTCCTAGCCGGTCCTTATGACTAGCGAGATATCGAGATTACCCCCTAAGGCCAAGGCTATGCCCCACATTTTTTTGTTGTGGGGGGCTCCCCCCCCCCCCCCCATCCATCGACCCACGGTATGCCAAGGTTATTCTCCATGTTTTTCAATGGAGGACCTACACCTGCACCCAAGTCCTAACAGTAACACTTCTTACTGTTACACAAAAAAATGAAAATAAACAAGTGGGACTGAACAATGACATTTATGGTCATTTAATTTGATTTAGACCATGTATATAGCCTATCTATGTCAATACACATTACTATTATCCCTAAATTATGCACTACATCATCAAACACATGGATATACATTGTAAATACTCAAAATATAAAATTCTAGACCCATTATTACTCCCATGTTTCGTATGTATATGATACATTAGTTTTTACCCACCACGAATGCCTGATGTATCAGATTTGATACATGCACATTCAGGGGCGTACGCAGGGGGGTGTTTTGGGGTTCAAACCCCCCCCCCCCCCCCCTTTGGTATTTTAATGTATGTAAACCCCCCTAAAAAAACCTAAAACCCCCCCCCCCCCCCCCCCCCCCCCCCCCCCCTTTGGTTTTTTTTTTTTTTTTTTTTTTTTTTTATTAAAAAAAAAAAAAAAAAAAAAAAAAAATTATACCCACGGCTAACCTAAATAAGGTGACCTTACCCCCCCCCCCATACGTAAAAAAATGTCAAATTTTGAAATTTTGAGACCAAAAAAAAAAAAAAAAAGTGTCCGCTTACCCCCCCCCCCCCCCCCCCCCCCCCCCCACTGAGCGACTTTTCTGCCGGCTGAGTCGATGCGATTTTTTTTGGCCTCCAAAAAACAAAAAAAAAGCGTCCGCTTACCCATCTTCTGGGCTGATATCGCGAGTGGATGACGAAGCTGGAAAGGGAATCATGCAGAGCTCGGGAAGAATAGTGCGAGTGGCAAGGTGATGACTCAGCTGCATGTATACACACGTGGAGCGCGAATTGCTAGCTAGCGAACGCGAATGAAGAAGGCTCACAAGCCTTACACTTCAATATTGCACTTTCCCGAAATAAACTAGAGGACGTAAATCTGAATTGCGATAGAGTCCTCAAAAGAACGATGTTGATGAAAACTCACTATTAAAGTGGAACCGATGAAATAACGCTTGTCGTAAAGTCAGAACTCTTCCTATAAAAACGCGTCCAAGTGTCGAAATTGAAAACAGGAGGAGTGAGTAAAATTTGTGTGTGGAGACTATTCCAAGTGCGCTAAAGGTGTGGTGATTGGCTTATTAAAACAATAAGGTGCAGTCCGATTGGAGTAACTAAAATAACACTCTTGTTGCTGGGTGGTTCCACGGATAAAATTAACTAAGAGAATGTTTGAATGTGCAGCTGTAGATTGTTATTGTTATTGAAGCTGGCTGAACGGAAAGTACTAACGAAAGGTATGCTTAAAATGCTGAGTATTTACAATGTTGGTAAACATTTGTGACCTTAGAAAAGTTCAAGTCACTACACATTCATCAGATTATATTTGTTTCTAAACTAGAGCAAATAATGAAATATCTCACCTGGAAGTACGCAAATAAGGACAAATCCAACACTGCACTGAAGGCCGTATCCGAATGCTTGCATTGATTTCTTCGAATAAAGATCTCCATTTCGATTTCTTGCTCCTGCATAGAATTTACAAAGAAGACTGTCGAGAAGTTTAATATCTTGTCCCAAATTGTCAATATATATGTTCAACCTTCGAAGCATATTTGAATATTAGTATATGCACTGTCAGCATTATCCAGCATATTATTCAATTCTTCATCGGTAAGAAGTTGAAACCTCGGGTGCTCCCGCCCATCACTCATGATGATTGTTGAAGCCTAAAAAGGCTAAACAGGGGGATCCAAAGTCAACACAAATAGTTACAATGATGTAAATCCTTCATTCTCAGTAGTCTATACCGGTAATCCAATATTATCCAAATGACAAATGGTTAGAAGCAAAAAAGTCCAAATTGATTAAAATTCAATGGTTGGTGTCTAGATCTAGGCCCAGCTACAGCTAGCTCTGTACTGTAGAGACGCAAGTCATGCCGATAGCTCGCTAGACAAATTTTTAAGTGTTTTTGCTTTTTGCGCGTATTAATGCCATGCATGGATTGCGCTTATTTAGGCATATTTGTTTCGTGTTTACGCGATTTATGTTTAAAGCACAACATGCATACATGTAATAAAGTCGATGCACGCACATTTGACTTTTCCAACGCTGAAATTAAGCGTCCTTGACTTGTAGTTTGGCCTAAAAAAAAACACTGACATTTCTCGTAACCTACTTTACTATGCTTATTCAATGGGCAAGTGAGGCAGCAGCAAAAAAATACTATCAATCGTGACAAAAGTACCGTACAAAAGTACTATCACACCCCTAGCTCATGGCCATGAAGTGATGGTAAATCTATCATTGATCATGTAACCTCATTTAGACCAATCAGATTGCAAGATTCTTAGTATGCGGGATATAAAAACATATACTTTTTGTCACATACTGCCCAGAGGATGACAGAGTATCATCCCTTTCTGTTATGATAGTCGGCATGATAATTGACGGTTGCAATTATAGGGATGTGGGTTCCATCAAGGGCCCCTCCAACTGGGGGCAACCCCCATGTCCTCGATTCCGTTTTTCCAGGAATTACTCTGTTTGATCCTCCAAATTACGGTAATACGTTTTTTAAATAATTTTTTATAATAAATTTTTTTTTTTTTGCTTGATATTCCTTTTTTTTTGCTATCATGGTTCCTTTTTTTTTGGTCGTACAAGGTAGGCAGCTCTGCTAAACGATTGACGGTAGCCTATCTCCGGAAGAAAAGGTTGTGTACCTCCTCATCAGTTCTTGTACAATCCCAAGGCAGGTGTTATTGTCATTGACAATGACATTGGCTACTCCATCTGGCTATCTCAAAAAGGTGCCCGATTATTCGATATTCACAGTTTGTGTAACAGTCTTTGTGATCTTTATCATCACCCTGTACATGAGATGGAAGTATTTCAGAGTCACCTGGTGTCTGGTGGTGCATGTCACGAGGTGCCCGGTAGTGTATGTCAGGAGGTGCCTGTTGATACTTAAAGGAAGCATGTGGTTGTTGTGGCATAGGCTGACCCTCGATCAATCTGGCCCTCTTGAAGTTCCTATCCTCTCTATGAAGTTGCTCGGCTTGCTCCGTCTTCTCACCTTCATCGCTCTTCCATTTCTTGCTTCCTACGTGTAGCTCTACCATTCTCGTTCGTTATAGCGATTCTCGTCGCTATAGTCTCCGTGTTGTTTCAGCACACGATTAATCTTATCGCTGCATGCTTGCCCATGCTGCGGAGGGTAGCCAGCCTGGGCAAGTTGAATTCAATTGCCAGTCTAGTAAATATTGGTTTATTTACTTCTCACTTTCAGTTCCTGTTGGATATCTGGTTCTTCCCACAGGAGCTGAAAACACCCGAGTTCATCTGGATCCCAGTTCGAACCTTTTAACTTTAGATAAATATTTGTCTATGACTGCTTGACGTTTCCATGAACCGTGATTTCTTTCACTCATCTTGACATTGAGAATGAATTGATCTAAAAAGTTTTATAAGTGATTATAAAAAGAAATAGCTCCCATTTCTTTGCTTTTTGTTACTCTGCCTTTAAAAAAATAACCGTAAAGCTTTTGCAGGTTTACCCTGACTTGGAAGGGTCCCACCAATTAGCTTCATGAAGTCCTCTGCCCTCATTAGACACTTCTGCCATTCATCCCATGGTATTTCTTCATCATCTAGTTATGCAATAAATAGTCATATTCGTTTTGTAGAATATCTTTCTTTGCAAAAATACAAAATCTGGGAGATCCTTTATGGGTAACTATGCGGATAAAGGCTTTTTCTGCATTGCCTCTGGCGCGATTCACCAGTCTCCCAAGTATGGGTACTTCGCACGTTGTGTCTGGTTCTTCTGTTGCATCCAAACTGCAAGAATAAAACAGTCGCAATTACTAAATACCTTCTTTCTGTGTTTTGTATTGAAATAGAATAATCACATACTTACTACTGAGATTGACGTCTATTTTAGGAACAACCTGTTCTACCCATACATTAGGAAAACATACTTTCTAGAAAAATGTTTTAAGTTTTGAAATGGCAATTTTAGCTTTTGATGAAAAAAGTGGGCAAAATTGATGCAACATGGAAACAGTATATTTTGCTTATTTTTTAGT